AAAATAAAAAGAGAGGCTGAGCGGGATCCTCATTTTTCATTTCAGCCAGCGGACTCGATGCCTCAAGATCAGACAATCAGACCTGATGGCTTTGGGAGGCTCAGTCAGCTTAGGGCTTGGAAAATGATGGGAGGATGATGAGGGGGAATTGGAGGAGGAAAGAGAAATAGTATTGGCGTAAATAACAGCAGCACAAAAAGACAAAGAATTCAGAGATGGCAGAACCACAGCTGAAGTGGGTGATTTGTTCGCCTGCTGAGGGCTTTGTGTGGGTTTGGACTGGATTGGGGGTTGTTTACTGTCACCACACAGACCCCGAAGTACGGACCCCTCCCTGGGCGTAAACAGCCAAGTCGAAGGTGAAGGACGACGAAGACTGACGGACAGAAGGCCCGATGGAACGAAAGAATTCCTCTTTTTAAGAAAGCCGTCAGCGCTGGGTTTTTGTGTCCTTCACCCCAATCCCACAGGACTAGCATTAAAACACCGACTCCCCCTCCCTCCCTCACTTCCTTCTCCCCTTTCTCTCCTTCTCTGTCTATCTTTCTCTCCACCCCCTCTCTCATTAAAACTGTGCGCCTCGGCTTCTAATTAAATCCCACTTGAAAGTCTTAAAAGTCAGACTCAGATTGATTCAATTTGCATTTCTGAACAGGGAACATTGCCTAAAAGGATTAATAAATTGGTTGAAAATGCCTCTTTCTGCAATGTGCTGTTGTTGCTTGTAAGACAACACCCATCCAATACCTCTGTTTCTCTGTTTTTCTTCATTCACTCTTTTCAACACATTCACTCCTGCTTGTTCACACATGGGCACACAAACAAGGCCCTAAAAGCAGTGAACCCAGCTGTCCATTCATGCATTTGTCCAGACACACAGATATATACAAAGGCACACTTCTCAGTGATTCCACCCTTAAGCCATCAATTGAATTCACATGTGTGAGAAAAGAAAAATGCTGCGAACACACACGCGCACACCTTTGAATCTGCACGCACAAACATTTTCAGTGGGCGCCCACGTGCACTTGCCACATTTGCACACGACGGCAGAGTAACGCTGCTGGCAGACCTCCAAATATTTCACCAGAACGTGATGGAAGCACACACGGGAGGATGTAACGCAAGAGAGTAAGAAGAAGGGGGGGAGGCGACAGCTCAAACAAGGCTCACCGGGGGATTAAAAATAAGAAGACTGGCATGAAGAACCTTGGCCGTGCTGAAGTGCCACTGATGACTCACTCGGATGATAATATGTGGGGTTCACTGATGCTGGAGGAGAACTGGCTACGGGTCAGTGATTCCTCTGTCCCCGGGGCACAGCCAGTCAGCTACCTCACCAAGCTGAAGAGCTCTCAGTCTTCTCAGGACAGTGAAGTGATTATGGACTGTCCATAGCTATAGGCTGCCATTGCATGTAAGACACAGGCATGAAATAAGCAATCGATTTACAGCATTTTGAAAGTTATTCTTTATTTTGAAGCAGTGACCTGATGATTGCCGGTGAAGCAGTTTCCTAATCTTGCTACAACGCTTTAAAGCACTTTAGGTGCTCGGTCTACACACACGCCCCCTTCAATGGATCCGCTTTGTTATGCTGATTGTAGGATTTGACCTGCTTTGAGCTACAGTTGCCGAATATTTGGTAACAGTACCACAAATTCTGTGGTGCAGTGCCACAAAAACATCCCAAAATATTACACAAGTCTCTGAGCACCACAGGAATTTACAGCCGGACATGCTTCACCACAACCACAAACCTGTTGTACTCAACCTCTGTTGTAAATAATGCAGCACAGTTATGGTTACATACAGTCACCATGGTCATGTTGTGCCTTTGATCCTCTCTTTGACCTGTTTTGAATTTGGATTTTGGATTTTAACAATCAAAAATATGCACACAGGCTCAGATATAAACACGCACGCCTGCTAATGTTTGATTCAATGTCCCGTAGCAAGGCGCAGAACGCAAGTTTTCAGTGCCGTTGAAGTCTGGATGTGTGATGTGTGTTTTGGACACTTGTCGTGTTGGATCAACCAGCTGTGTCCGTTATGACGACTGGAAGAAAGTCTGTGAACTGGCTCAGTGTTTGTCTCCTCCACGGGGCGTTTGGCCTGTCGGTGTGGGCAGCTACAAGTTTTAGTTGAGCTTGAGGTGCCACTGTTGGAGCAGGTGCTTCGTGTTTCAGTGTAAACTTGCTCCACTGTAGTGTTTGATGCTGATAGTGCAGACAGAGATGTGCACTGCTCTGAGTATTGGTCAGTGTAATGAGAGCGGCCAGACAAAGAGAAGCTACCAGCTGCACTCAATCATGATCATCACCAAGAAGTTAATATTGTAGAACCTTCAGCATCACTTATTAAAGATTTAAGTGAGTATATGTACATATTTGAGCCTATGTGAATGAGAGAAAATCCAAAATAAATCCAAACTCATGCATTCAGTGATTGTTTCTTAAAGTCATCAGAGGTCTGTGATTCCACCAGAACAAGAACAGTTCAAAGAAAATATTACAAACCACACGTCCTCGACATTCATGCCCATGATGAGTGTTTGCATGTTTCCAGCTTCTGTATCTACTCTAACCAATTTTCCATGTGGGAGGAGAAAAAAATTTCCCTGACAAAATATTAGATCAACACACCCACCTGAGTCTAATGTGACTTACGTCACGTACGTTTCTGTACGCTTTAAGAGTATTTTAGATTTGTCATTCACCAGCGATGCCAGAAAAACAAACGCAGGACACAGTGTGAATCCTTCAGTTTCAGCAGAAATAAGACAGCGAGAATTTCATTTTTTACCTGTGGTTCTGATTTCAGCAAAGTAGAAATGATTTCTTCTACTATCAGGTAGCAGCTAAAGGAAAAACTGCCTATGGAATAATAAAGTCGTTTTATTGAGAAACATGTAAGCAATTTTTTTTTAAATTATGACAATTTATGTGAAGTATTGACAACTAAGTGACAATTTAAAATATTTTGTCAAGAAAAGAAAAGGATGCAAAGCATTTTAAATTTTGTTGGTTCAAGTCTCTGAAGTTCTCGGCCTTACATCCTGTAGATGCGTCATTCTGGACAAAAAAACAAACAGCTGCCTAACTTAAAATGAGACGATTCTACCAGCCTCGATGAAGCAGAGAGTAGGATCATCAAATAGAAATGAAATTACATTTCAACAAAGAAATTAATGAAACTTTGTGAGGTGCTTTGGACATAAACAACAAACCAACGCGACATACCTGTAATCAGGTGCCAGAGTCGTTCTCATCATACTCAGAGTTATGCAAACAAAGAGTCAAAGATTTGACTGGAAATCTTCTTTCTAACATCAACCTGAACCATTTGGTGTTTTGGCCCAGCAGCTTTCTGGATTCTTCTTTTATGTTGAAGTTTCTTATTACTCTGTTTCCTTACAGAGAAACACTGGTGTTGCTCCAGGCTGCAGGGAGACATCCCTCCTTCATGAGCGTCACTGCTTTGGATCATGTTGTAATCTTGCTCCAGGCTCCTGTGAAGCTGAAGCAGCATATGGCACCTCTTCACTGAGGTCACCGAGGACTGGCACGCGTTGACCTCAGTTTCAGGACACAACCACATGAGAGAAAACTTGGACTTAACTTAGAACAACACTGACCTCAAGTGGCTGTTTTACAACATCTCATTAAACTGAGTAAAGCTCTGCTGCAGCACTTAGATGCTGCTTTTGTTATTATGGGCTGATTATAGTAGTTGTTTGGCACTTTAAATTTAAATCTTAAATGGTGAGCAGGCACTGCTCATAATGTTGCTACCACAGATTATTTGTGCTCTGTGTCATTAAAATGGGCTCATATGCTTTCCACTATTTAGTCAGTAAATGGCACAGAAAATGAAATAGAATAGCCCTTTATTGTCATTCTCATTGTACATGCACAGTGACATTATAGGTGCTCCACACCAACTGTGCAGAGTAAAATATATATAAATACTAAAGACATCAGGAATAAATAGCACGCAGAAGAGTGCAGTTTATACAAAACAGGAAACAGTGGAAAAGGACTGAGAGTAGTCTGAGTGCAGTCCCATAGGACACTACAGGACAATGAGCTTATTAACGTAAATGTGGAACTAAGACTGTCCAGAGATGAGAAGCCCTAGTTTACCTCCAGACATGCTATCCTGCTGTGGGAATAGATGGTGTTAGTGTGCTGTTGTCATGCTGTTGTATCTGAATTATAGATTATTATCTATTATTATCAAAATGAGTCTTTCTATTGTTCCTTTTCACATTTCTGCAATTTAAATTCCTTACAATGCTGTGATTGCAGCCATTCCCCGACTCTCTGTGAATGGGACTCATGGTTGTTGATCAATGGTCGTGACAATTAATGATCATAAACTGACCTCACAGCCCATTGTTAGTCAGTGGTGCTGGTTTCAGTCATTGTGTAAATGTCCTGTTTATTTCATTGGAAACCTGCAGTCAGCTGAAGAAGCCACCTGATGATGACAATGAAACGTTTCTCCCACTGAAGACGTCCAGATGAACAGAATCAACCTCTGGGATTTACTTACCTGGATGAGTGAGCATGCATCAGGACTTGTTAGGTGGGTTTTGTTAGTTAACAACATGCTCCCTCACCAGGTCATCTGCTGTGTGACCCTCTAATTGAATGATTTTGGGATAGCACACAGAGCTCCTTGTTCTGGCTCTTTGAAGCACCGAATGAGTAAAGAAACTGTGTTTACTAATTAGCACCTTGTCAGCACTTACCTGCTGATCAGTATACTTTTGTGATTTCAGCTTCAGCTTCTTGCTTTCTAAAGCTGTCCCTCAGTGAGGCAGGATTACTTACCCTGATAAATCTTCAGTTTCAGTCCAAAGTGTTTCCTGTTACTTTAGTTTTGACATTTACCTTATTAGAGGCTCAAAAAGCAGCACAGATGTTTGAGGAGCAGGTCAGAGGGCAGAGATGCACAGAGACATGAGAGAAGTCTGGAAGTTCAGACCTGTGGACTCAGTGGGGCGCCTCCTGTGAGCAGCCTGTGTGGCAAGGCTTCAGCTTTATCTTTGACAGGAGCACGAACTCGTCTGTTACCTGCTGCTCCTCAAGCTTTGATATCAGATCCAACAGCTTCCTCTGGAGCTCCATCACCTTGTCATATCTGGATATGGACCCGAACGCACATGCAGCTCTTCACTGGTGGAAGGGATAAGCTGCTGAAATGTGGACATCTTCCTTGGAGCAGCCATAGGTGACACGTTGTCAGCCAGTTCTAGCTGGAAAAAGGGAGCGTGGGCCGTGGGTGGAATGGCCACTGAGGTAGAGGAAGATGATGACAGGGAATTGGATGATTGGACTCAAGTTGTTGATGGGGGAGGTTGAGAAAGAAGCAGTAACAGGTAAGAAGATGAACGTTTGTTTGGGATACAGAAGAGTAAATGAACTCAACAGTTCACATGAAGGGATCACTGTAGTCCAAACAGGTATAGCAATCATCTCACCCCCGTTCTCTGTTCGCTGTTGGGGGCAGGAGGTTGAGAGGAGGAGCTGGCCATCTGGTCGGGGTCTGGGATGCTGCTGCGGGACCGGGGACGGTCTTCTTGTCTCCACCCCTTGGAAAAGGGTAATATCTCCTGGGTCTAGGGGCGGATGCCCCTCGGGGCACGATGGTACCTGGACCTGGGGGGAGTGTGAGTGTTCATCGGGTGAGTGCTGAGTATTTGTATATGTATGCATGAGGGTGGGAATGCTCGTTTGTGTCTATGTGTCAGGTTGGGTCTTAGACTCTCTGGGAACATCCCCAGGCCCTCCCAGGTGTGGGGCCCATCTCCCCTCACCACACTCCACGCGTCACCGCAGCCTCCTGTGGCTTCTGCACTGTGGCTGCTGGGGGCTCTCCTCAGCTCTTTCAAGGAGGGTGGCACAGCTGCCCCTCTGTTGACCCTCTTTGGGCTCTTGTGGTCTGGGCCTCTGGAGAAAAAAGAGGTATATAATGTAATATCAAACGGGTTTAGCAGAGGTAGAAACTCTATGGATGCAGTTTTGGAATTACAAAACCCCAAATAAATAAAAAAGTGTTGCAGCAGTGTTGTTCAAAAAAGCAACATGATACTATGTAGAGAGAAGGCTTATTAATTAAAATGAGGACGATAAGTATCACAGGCCGAATGTACAGGTGGATGAAGGATTTCCTCTTCAGAAGGCAAATAGTAAGGATAGAAAATGGAACATCACAAGGGAGTTGATGATAAATGTTGTGTTTCATAATATAGACAGTGGAATGGGAGTTTCTATTTATGCAGATGACGGCATCATGTGGAGGAGAGGAAGGAACCTAGAGTTTATTACTGGAAAGGTGCAGGAAGCAAGTCATGAGTGGGTCTTTACATTTTCAGTGGATAAGACCAAGGCAATGTTTTTCACAAGAAAAAGAACCGGTAAGGTCATTAAGCTAAAGTCATACAAACCATATTATTTGGTTTGATGAGAGGGTTACACGGACAAATTCAGAAAAAGTGTGAGAAAGTGTTCAACATCATGAGGGGTTTAACTGGAAGTGACTACATGATATCACATTGCTTTTTTGAATAACACTGCTGCAACACTTTTTTGTTTACTTGGAGTTTTCAGTCAGGACTATAGTTCAGCAGCAGACACTTTACAGAGGTTTGATCATATTCAGTACCGAGTGTCGAGACTTTGTACAGGTGCAGTTAGAACAGCATCAACAGACAGCATCATTACATTGAAAAATGGCACTTAACAACTAACTTACTGGGCAAATTTACATCAGTGACAGATCATCTCAGGAAACAGTTCGACCGAGCTGGCAGAAGGAAGCAAAGGATGTGAGGAGCAGTGTTGGTCAAGTCACTTGAAAAAAGTAACTAATTACTGATTACTTCCCCAAAAAAGTAATCCCGTTACTTTACTGATTACTTATTTTCAAAAGTAATTAATTACTTAGTTACTTAGTTGCTTTTTAAAAACACGATTTACAACCTGAAGAGGTGATGAAGTGATAGATCTTTCAGCCCAGTTCTACTTTTTCTGCATAATCCATCATACAAAATGTAATCAAATGGAAAAGTCTCTTTTTAAAACTTGTTTTATTAGTTTTAATCTTTTAACTTTATGCATCAAGCAAACATTTAATTATATGCAACATTCTCTGACTGGAAGAA